TGAGAGTAGAATGATGCCTCTGTAGTTCTCACACTTGCTTAGATCTCCTTCCTTTGTATCTTGATGATGTGTCCTTCTTTCCAGTATGTTGGCGCTTGTTCGTCCCCCGAAATCTTGCTAAACAGAGCCTGGAACATCTTTGAAGTCACTGCTATGTCTCCTTTGAATGCCTCATTCCACATATTGTCCAATCCCGCCGATTTGCCACTCTTGATTTGTCTAATGACCGTGTCCATCTCTTAGATTGTTGGTGAGTTGACCTTAATTGGGAAGTCCATGTGTTCTGCTTCGATTTTGGATGTATTAAGTGTGGCTGGTCTATTCAAGAGTTCTTCAAACTGGTTCATCCACCTGTTTCGCTGTTTCTCAATTTCGGTGATTGGTTTTCCTTCCTTGTTCTTCACTGGTCGTTCTGGTTTATGATATTCTCCAGCGAGCTCCATTGTTGTATCGTAGAGTTGTTTCATATTCCCTTGTCATGCAGCTTTTTCTGCTATCACTGCTTCCTCTTCGGAATACTTCTCTTTATCAGCTATAATGCTACTCCTCACTTGCTAGTTTACTTCTGTACATTCGATCTGTGCCTTAGATTTCTCTGTTCTTGTTCGACTGAGATTGGCTGCTGCCTTCCTGTTCTTCCTTTCTTGAATCTTATCCAGAGTGGAGTATCAATAGAGATCCATTCCTTGTTATGGTGGTCCTTGTGGTTTGGAACTTCATGATATGCTGAAGTTATTGGTTCACTGATCCCATTGCAGGTTTGCTCCATGGTAGTTTCCTCTTTATTGATTTGATCGTGAAAGACTCGAAACTTGCTGCTCAGAGTTTTCTTAACTTTGTTGGGTTTGCCAGTATCCGTAAGAAAGACTGTATTGAACTTCGGTGGTACTGTTCGCTTGGTTGTGCAATGTTTCTTTAGTTTCAGCTTCGTCTTGACCACTAGCAAGTGATGATCTGAGGCTACATCGATCGTCTCTTAGTTCCTATCTCCTCCATGGTCATTCTGAACTTTTTATTGATGCAGATATAGTCGGTTTGGTTCAGTTTAGTGTTATCCGGTGAAACCCATGCAGCTTTGTGTATGCATTTATTTGAGAATATGGTATTGCCTATTAGCATTTTTTTGAATGCGCATAGATTTGCGAACTTCTCACCGCTTCGGTTACTTTTTCCCAGTCCATGTCGTACGATGATGCCTTCATATGCAGTGTTGTCCAATCCAAGCTTGGCCTCAATTTCTTCCATCAGAATGGTCAATTCACTTGATAGGCGTTTGTCAAAGAATAACTGCAGCCTTCGTCAAATGTGTTTTTTTGACTCCAAGTACATTTCCATTTTATGTTTTCATTTCTGCTGCAAGTTGCACCACTCACCTGGTCTCCCACATTCTACAAACATACGATATACCTAAATTAAGGGTTGATCTGTTGCTAAGAAGTTGCATCGGCCTCGTGACCTCCGAAGAATTTCTGCTTTCTTCATGAGACGTTATAACTCTTCTGAGTGAAGACCTAATCCCCAGGTTAGAGTTTATTTGGTTTGACTTGCTCATTCTGTTTAGCGTTTCTTGAGCAAGTTAGCTTTATCCAGGATCGGGTCACTAACCCCATGCCAACCTTCCTCTTTTATTCAGGCTTAGGATTGGTGATGGCCCAAAAGTTGCTCCAGGTAGATATTTTTTGAAAAATAATGACAAGTAAACTGACGAAAATATCTACGTATTTAAATCATAGCAGAAAATATCACATTTGTAACTTAGTGACATTTGTTGAATAAGCTCAAATTTCTCAAAATCTGTCTCTGTGTGTTTATTTCCCCTAGTTAATCATTAATTATCATGTATAATGAAATTTGGAAATATTGATCATTGAATCCTGATATATATATGTATATATATATATATATATATATATATATAACTTTTGACTAATCTAATCTCAAAACATCATATTTGTATGCTTATATCATTGAATTTATTTGGTTACTTTCATTCCCTGCATAAATTTTTAACTAGATTATATCCAGTTGGACATCTATCTGTGATTATAATACATGGGATCAAAATTTAATCACTGGTTTTCATCCATTTCATACTAATATGTATTTATGCAATGGTTCAAGTGGTCATGGTACACAACATGCTATAGCAATTGGGAAATCAATATCTGAACTGATTTCTTTTCATCGTTATAAAACATTAGACTTAGTACGTTTCTCATTTGATCGTTTATTTTTTAATGAAGTTGTCAAAGAAGTGAATTGTTTTTAAAAAAAAATTGTAATTAATTATTTATTCATCACTTTATTCAATTATTTAATGAATAAAATTTGTAAATAACTATGTATTTTTTTGTTTTAATTATTATCTTACTGAATTTTGTTTTGTTTTTTTGTTGTTGGTATATTATGTGAATATTAGATGGATAAATGGTGACTTAATGTTACTCAATATTAAACAAGTTCATGTCCATACAATTAGCTATAATTATTGTTTATATATATTAGTTTGCAATTAGTTATACTATCCTCTTTAATTAAACTAATCTACATAGGAGTTTTGAATCTACTACCTGAATGGTTCAACTGCTTTATTTTACTATTGTTCATAAGTATTACGACAACATTTTTTTGAAAACTTATCGTCATGTATTGACAGACTATGCAGGTCTAAATATATCACGTGCTTAGTCAAGATTTTACCATCCATTCTGGTCTGGTAACTTGAACTGATACATGTACTTATCAAGTTCTACATTTTAACGTGATATTTCCGTTTCGCGGGTAGAAGGATATATGTATCTGCCAATGATTTATTCGGTTGGTCAATTATAATTTCCTAGTCATTCTCAGTTTTCTAATGTATCAGGTTGGAAAAGCGTATGAAGAAGTGCGTCTCTCTGTCAGTCATTGGACGTAATCGATTTTTTGTTTCAAATAAATACGCTAAAAAGTTGATCCCTTCTTCGAAACGCTCAAACATGATTCGAGTAGAATCATTAATTTGGTAAGAGCCAACTCGGTTTACGCTTCGTGTTTCTGGAAGCTCTGATGCTGCTTTTCAATGGCTTCGCTGGTGTAGGTATAGCATTGAGTCCTAGGGTAGAACTAGCTCTCTTAGAATGGATCCAAGTGGATAAACGCTCAGGAGCTGTCGGACTAAACGAGACAGTAAGGACTCTTAAAGATAGGGAAACTCTCCGTCGCCTCTTTGTGGTCTCTGCCTACGCTCCCACTGACTCCAGTTCAGACGAGATAAAAGATGAGTTCTACAAAAACCTTCCTAACGTTCTTAAAAAGGCTAAGCGCTCTAATATAGTGTTAAAGGCTGGTGATTTCAATGCTCAAGTAGGTGGGTTAAGCGAAAGGAAAGATGCCTGGGTAAATCCTATAGTGTCATGGCTCAAACAACAGATAATGGCGACCATTCACAGCAACTATGCGCAAATAATTACCTATTTTTAGCAAATACAAGGTTTAAGCATGAGGAAAAACATCTTTTGACGTGGCGACCCCCAAAGCCGATACAATGATGAACCCAACTAGACCACATTACTATCAGCCATCGGTGGAGAAGCTCCAATGCAGGATGCCGCGCATTCTAGAGCACTCGTTTAGATTCAGATTATGCTCTGGTGCGAGCACGTATTTGTTTGAGGCCTACAGGACGTAGAAAAGACACCACAAAGAAACTTCTTACGGTTCTACTTAGTGAGAGCGTAGCTAAGAACATATTTCAGGAACAATTAGAAAAACAGTTAGGCAGCCATGTAGGTGATTACCATCCCGAGTCAGTTTGCAATGATATCCAAAAAGCTGTGGAAACAGCAGTGATATCTGCTAGTAAGGTAAACCACAAGGTTAAAGAGAAACAGTGGATTTCAGTAGCATCTACCGAACTGATGGATGCTTGAAAGCTCCCAACCATCTGAATTCTTCATCACTTTTTTCTTCTTCTTTTTAAGTTTATTTCACTAGATTCTACCTTTTGAATAATTTATCGTTGAACCCTAATATCTCCGATTACTGCTAATACTTATACTATCACTACTACTATGGAATATGAAGTGACAACAACAATGTGTTATGGCAGCCCGAATTGATGCATGTACGTACGGATTTCTACGTTGTAAATGATTAACTGACTGACTTCTAATGCGTTGTTTGGAATTTTTTTAAGGCTGTAACAATGTGGAGATTAAATTTTTGCAAAAAATTTGATCAGGGTCATCTGCGAGGAATTCAGTCGAGAAAATATTTTTGAATGCTTTCTTTTTTCGTATGGTTTCTACATGAGAAGACTGCAATACTGTTACGTTCGACTAATATCTTATCGGTCTTACAAATATCAATTAACTAATAACTATAATTTATTATTATACCTGCATTGTTATCATGCACCGACCACTCGATTCAATCCCATTTTCAGGAAGTAAGATTCATTATATTTATTAGCGCTAAGAACATTTTCGTCAGTCAGCCACTACTTAAAACTTACCAGTGAGAATTATCAGTTATATAGTCTTTAAGAAGCACAGTTGGCTATTTTATATCAATTATCTGTCAAGAAAAATCCTGGTTTTGTAGGTATATTAAATTTTCCACAATAAAATAATGTTGACCCTTCTTAAAAATGGCATCCATTCTTCCAGCTCAGTTATTTAGAATTAGTTTGTCCATGAAAGACCGATAGATTCGGGAGTCATGTTTCTGTTTTGTTTTTCAGACTACTAATGAGTAGTTTATGTCTTTTGTTGAGTTTTGCAGCCTTTCAAATTCAAAAGTGCTATTTCATGTTCATAGAATCAGAATCAATGAAGCTGTTAGCATATAGATTGTTACCCAAATTATAGTTCTAAATCTTATCTACCTGCGCCAACTTTACAATTACTATTGAGGAGTTAAACTGTTACGAAAATATTCGATTGCATTTTTTCTCTGTGTTCAGTTATTCAGACTAATGTTTTCAACAAAAATGCAAAGCACTGTTCCGAATCTCTCCCATCATGTTACTCATTACAGTCACTAAAGTGGTTCCTTAACAAACAGAAATGTGTTCCAACTAGTATAAATATGTATACTCCTGTAGTCTTGGTTACCTAGACTAATAACCGTAGATAATTCGTCTATTAGATACCCAATAGTCAACCCATACTCAACGACAGTAGCTAAAGCCCAAAAATTCACAAAATTAACTGCGTCTAAACTTCATTTATGAGAGCGAAAACACTGCAGCACATATGAAAAACAAAAAAAGTCTTCTGACTAACAAGGACGGCTATCCATGCAGCTTAATCAATAAATAGCAACCTAACACATTAGCATAAGCAAATTCGAGTACATGAACCAACAAACGGATCACCCTACAATATACAAAGGATAAATCGGAAACTGTAGTAAGATTGCTGAAGCCGTTCAGACTAGATGCAGCACAAAAACCAACAAAATCACTTCAATCTATCCTATGTGTACCAAAGGACAAAATGACAAAAGAAGAAAAACCGATCATCATTTATAAAATAGGCTATTCAAACTGCGATGAACACTTCATCGGTCGAAGTGTAGTCCTCTTCAGCTTCGCCTACATTAATATCGATTAACAGTCAAACGCCATGATATTCTTTCCTTTATATCAATGCATGTGGACAACTGTAAAAATACATTTGATTGGGAAAAGATTGACATACGGTATTAAGGGGACTCAAAAAACACCATAAAATTTTCAAAAGGTTTGCACTCAAGTCAATAGCAATCTACAAACACATCGACATTGATGCCGTTTATCAACCAATCAGAAAAATTATAGACCAGCATATGATCATGAACCAAATCAAAGGGAGAAATAATTAACATAAAGAGACAGACAATGATAGGTTAAAGGTCAATAACAACCAGCTAAGGTCGAGGTCAACAAGATAAGTCATGAGTCATAGGAGAAGAAATTATAATACCTCACTCGTGCTAATGTTTAGAAGTACAGCCAGAACGTCCGTCTCAGAGAATGAAACTCCTGTCCATTTTTTTCTAAACATAAATTAGTTAAACCATTTCCGTTTTGACAGGAATCATTAAAATGGCTTAGGTTGCTGATTGCATCAGTAGTTTGAATATTACGATAATTTTTTTCTAATTAATGATAATCCAGATTAATGCCCCTAACTGGTCTGATCATACATCACAAATGAGATTTGCCTGTGATAAATAATAGGTGAAAGTAGACAACATGTTTCTATCTATAGTGTCTCACACATACGGTTTATGTGTAATGTACCACCAACTCAGTGTACGTAACATTGTAGAAGAAAAGTTAGATAACTGTTGAGATTTTTGATAGGTATCCGCTGAGATTAAAAGAAATGACATTTTCTAAACCCATCATCATTCATAATCTTACCGTTTTTTTTTATGTGAAACGTCCTGATAATCGTGTTCCTTACCCTGGCAATATCACATCTATTCTATTACATCATCTTTTAATTCAACTCTTTCACATGCTTTTATTACATTATTTACATTTCTTTTGAACTCATATTCTCATCCTAATTGACTGATCTCAACTCATATTATTCTTCATTACCATTAATCTGACCTCGTTTACTTCATTACACAAATATCACTAATCCGATATTCTGGAACTTTTCTTCACACCCTTTATATGTCCGTAACATATATCTAATGGCCTTATTAATGTTATTAAAAGCTTCGCAACATCATGGTACACATATTTTTCTACTCACCTTCGTATATGATAATTTGAATTGTGAAATATTATAGGTTATAAACAACTGATGAGAACCTAACGAAATCGAATGAATTCATGTTACTCCGCACCAATCGTTATATTCATTATTGTCATGGCAATAAAAGGAATTGTTACAGAATTTTAGGGTTCGACGATACATTATTCAAAAGGTAGAATCTAGTGAAATAAACTTAACAAGAAGAAGACAAAGGTGATGAAGAATTCAGAAGGTTGGGATTTGAGAGAACACAAAGAATGAATGCATCTGCACCGTTGCAAAATATTTGAGCCATATCATTCAACAAATCAACTGATGAATTTTCACTACTTCATCTATTGACCTGACATCCTTACCTAATACGCGTTTCTTAACAACAGCATCGATTACTCGGTTGTCCCAGCATACACGAGCAATGCTTCGAAGACACATATGATCAAAAACCAGTAACCTACGAATATCTCCTTCTCTCACTAGCCATGTCTCTCAGCCATGATGTAGGACGGAGCGAACTGCTGCACAGTAGACTCGT